ATACACTAAAATATAACTTCATCATTGAACTTGGAAAGCCGAGCCAATTGGAAAGATATCTTCGGGGTATCTGGAGTACCTCATGTCAACGAACCGACAACAATTATCATCTCTCCCAATCCTGACCAGTACTGGCTTTAAAATGAGGAGAGACATCTCACTTGTTCTCCATTAACATCAAGTCAATGGTGGACACAAATAGATCATATCGCTATAAGCCGTCATTGCAGAAGATCGGCTGAGGATTGAAGTGCCTACTTGGAGCCCGGTAGTGCGTCACAGTTTAGACAAGTGCATATCTGCACCTCAATAGATGTAGGAAGCAGACAGTTTTTAAGTCCTCTCTATTTTCGTCCAGTGGGTGGTAGGATTGTATTGACCACTGTAATTACTTGGGAAGCTGTCTCATCGCTCACCAAGTATCAGCTCGGATAAGAACGTACATTTGACACTTGTCAAGCCTTATCATTCCTGGCATTGGCAAGATATGTAATTCCCTATCAAAAAAACTTCATGGTAATCCTCACTTTCCTGGTGTTGAATTTAAAGACATGACTATCTAAAGTTAAGGAAAGAAAGCCACCAGTTTTTGAAATGAGGTGTTTTGTATTATTGCAAGCTTTCAGGGTAGCTACCATGTGAAGAACATACAGTGAACGCAGTTTATTCGATGAGTTAATGGAACTTCTTGGTTGAAAACTCCGACATAACTGTAATCAATGATTATTATTATTATTTATTTGTCCCTCGGGTTCCTAATGGAGCATAGGGTTCCAGTAGCACGTCTCCATTCCACTCTCTTCTCTGAAATCTTCTCAACCTGACTCCACGACTACCCACAAACTCTCATTTCTCCCTCACACCATCTCCTCAATGTCACCCTCAACACCGACGCACAACTCGTCGCTTCCCATCTGGGTTCCACTCGAGGGACTGGCCTGGCCTCCCCTGGCCTGGCCTGGCCTGACGCGAGATGTCCCCAGTCGACCTTCTCAGTGTATGACCAATCCAATCCATCTCGACTTCCTGATACTGCATATTTGTTGGGCGATGGGTTCTCACTTTGTTGGTTCGTTGCCAGCCAGCCAGACTTCCTTGTTGCTTATTCTCACTATTCTGACCATCTGATCTTCAGTATCTGGTGAGCGTAGGTAGTTATTGATGAATGTCTGTAGTTTGTTGAGAATGCCTTTCGTAACGCGCCAAGTCTCTCAAGCATCACATGGGAGCACTGACTTGACTGAATTGGTGTTTACAATCTGGATGTTGTTCAGGCTTTATGCTGAGTGGAGTGGAGTAGATCTCCACACTGATTTCAGATAATTGAAGGCCTGTCTTGCTTTTCCGATCATGGATTTGACGTCGTCGTCGTCTGTGCGGCTACCGTCACCCGTAGTTGAGACGATGCTGCCTTGCCTAGGTGTGTGAAAGAAGCTGCTTCCTTTATGTTTCTCCCATTGATGGTGATTGGAGCTTGTTGTTGTTGTTGTTGGTGGTGGTGGTGTTGGTTGGGTATCTTCATCACCTCTGTCTTCTCTACATTCACTTGAAGTCCCATTTTCGCTGCAATGCCTCACTTCTTCAGTCAACTTGTTGAATTTTGCCTATGGATCTCCAAGTTTGTGTGACATTAGACACAAGTGATCACTGGCGAAATCCAAATCTTGTAGGTTATTTTCCGCGGTCCAGCGTATCCCCCTCTTCTCGTTCCTCACAGTTTGTTGCATGATCCAGTCGACCGCAATGAGGAATATCATGTGTGATAATAGACAGCCTTGTCTTACTCTTTCCTGTATTCACTTCAAAGGTATCACTGATCTTCCCATTGTGAATCGTACTTGACATGTGGCGTCTTCATGTAGTTGTTGAATGAGATTGATAAATGTGTATGGTATTGTGTAGTGTTGAAGCAACTGCTAAATTACTTGTCGGTCGACGCTGTTGTAGGCTTTTTCGAAGTCGATGAAGTTGAGTTGAGGTAGAGATCTGACTGCCGTTCTATGCTCTGTTCTATGATTATGCGAAGCGTCGCAATTTGTTCCGCACATGATTTGTACTTCTTGATGCCTACCTGTCAATAATCTACCTCAAAATTGATGTATGAAGTCGGGAAGTTTAAACATTTTCACTTATTTCCATATGTCTATTCTCTCTCCCCTTTCATATTACTTTTGTTTACATGAATGTCTTATTCTTTTAATCCCTTTACTGTGTGTGTGTATGTGTTGGTGCAGTTTATAGAGGCTGAAACCGATGCTTCTTTATACATTGACTTGTTTGTCTACATCTGTTTATGCTGTCTTACTTAGAATGTCTTTAGAATAAGTAAAATATATTGTTTTTACTGTGTTTATAAGCTCAAAGTTTTCACTTTTATAAGTAGTAGAATGGTATGTTAAGGTTGAAAGAGGTCATTATTATTATTACTATTATTATTATTATTATCTGTTGTATATTTAGTTTATGACGTCTGGTATGCAAATGAACTCTATCGTGATAAACTGAAAAATAACAACATAATATTTTTTCTATAATAATCAGTTTATGAGACTGGGCAGTATGTCTGTATATTCATACAGATATGAAATCACAATATGGAAGATATAAGTATTGCACGAATCTACTAATTTATACACAATTAAATTGTTTGTTAACAATATAATGTGAAATCACATATATCTGAAGTATTTAAATTAGTGATAAACTGAACTTCTATAAAAGATAAATGGATGAACAAGGAAATTGTTCTGTAACTTGTATTCATCCATTTCACATAAGGTCAAGAATGGGATTGACCTTTTAACCACTGAAGTAACATGATGTGATGATTCACTAGAGTGACCAATATGTTGGAAACGGATTTTATATACTGACAGAGTTTCTCAGCCTCTATCTGTATAGACAATAACGAGAAGTGGGATTTATTGTCTCTTACAAGTGTATGAAGTTAGTGTGAAAGACAACCTGCTGTTGTACGACCAGTGAAACAGGTTATTCATTAGCAAACATTTTCTTTCATACTGCAACATACCATGGTATCTAACTTATTGAGTGTGAGTGTAGGTAGGCGTATCCATTCTTTTAGCGTGCAGTCAATGGTCAAAAGTACTGATAACCTGATATCCTCCATATTGCTGAAGGTATCACCGGAAACATGCGAATGTGTACTTCCGGTTGGTATTCATTATGGATTGATGTCCAAGTCAGTGCTTCTATATGATGGTTGAGAGACTTGGCGCATTACGAAAAGCATTTCCAACAAACTGCAGACATACATCATATGAACAGCTGCCACCTATGCTGACTCAACACTGACACTGAAGATCAGATGGATGGCCAGAATAATAAGTATAAGCAAGGAACAAAGAACTCTGGTCTGGTAACGAACGAACCAACCAAAGACGTTTCGCCTAACAAATATGCAGAAGAAGGTGGAGATGGATTGGATTGGATTGGACATAGAGTAAGAAGAGGGTTTGGGGACATCATGAGTGAGGCTGTCGAGTGGAAGCCAGATGGGAAAGGATGAGTTGGCTATCAGTGGGTGACATGGAGGAGATAGTATGAGGGAGAAATGAAAGATTGTGGGCAGTGGTGGAGCCAGGTTGAGAAGACTACAGAAGCTAGAGTGAAATGGTGACGTGCTAGTGAAGCCCTTTGCTCCACTAGGAATCGGAAGGATACATAATAATAATAATGGATTGAGATGAGTTGTAGAAAGATTGGGATTCTGGGAGCACTGGACAGCTGTCTCGTCCTTGTATGTGACTTTTCAGCAGTGTGTACTCATGACCTTGCCAGGAACCGAACCCATTACTTTCAGGTTCCATGGTCAGCATGTTATCATTGGATTGGTAGGTTAGGATCCAATGGTTCATATTTCCTACTTCTGTTAGTTCATGACATAGAGCGACCTGCATTCAATGCCGTCGTTGAGTAACTGTCCTCATATCTGACTTGGTTGACCCCACTGGTCACGACTTCTTGTTGGGATTTTGGGAGTCACCTCTTGAAACTAGTTACTAGCAAAGCCTACGAAGTTAAATGTGATGGCGTTTAGTCAACGACGGTACTGGACGGAGGTCATGTTACATTGTGAACTTACAGAAGTAGAAAATATGGACCACTGGATCTGCAAAGTAACCAACGTCTTCATGGACTTCATATTGTTTATTGACTTGAGCATAACAGCTACGCTGATATCTTTCACATCAGGTTGTTATAATGAAATAAACAAACAATTTCGTATGAGATGTTCTCACACAATGTGTTGGAGTCGGTGGATGCCTAATTGCTGTGCTCTACTACTCGCTGTGTAGGTGTTTACTGAAATTTACGAGAATGTTTGTCACTGTTCATCTTGAAATCCATATGGAACTGGGGTGATGAAATGGATGACAAATTATCTGTTGTGCTGAATAACCTTTTAAGGAAGTAATATGACACCATGCCATCTTCCGAGGTGCAGTGCCGCTTGGAGTAAGGTGAGATTTAATGAAAATGAAGGTTAGGTAGGTGAAGTTGTTTACCGATTTACTCCATCATCTCAATGATTAATCTAATGTTGTCAAGGTAGTGAGAGTGACGGATTGGTGACTCTGCGAATTGGTCTAGACTAGATTATAATCCTGTGGATTTATTCATCATTTATCTTGGTCAAGATGGTGAATACATTATTACTCTTGATTGACTCGTTCATCATAAGGGTCATATCATTTCTCTTGTTTACTTCCATATGTCTACATTATTACCGCTTCTCTGATGAATCGATACACTTTTATATAAAGTTATGCTTTGTTATATCATCTTGCCTGTTATGGTATTGATGTCACTAGGGATTAAATTACACCAAGTATTATCTACTAGGCGAATAGTGAGCTAAACAATACAACAATGAAGTTTTATGTATTCACTTTTAATTGTTTCATTTAGAAAATCTCATTTTCTTTCGAATATCTTTTTTTTTTTTAATGAATTGAACTTATTACTCTTGAATTAAGGCATGTTGTATTGATGAGGCTAGAATTTTATATGATCAACTTGCAACAATATGCCCAATTGTTATGGCGTTGAGTGCAGCTACTCCTGCTATTCGAGGCTATTTACTTGATTGGGATTGTCGATGGGGTATTATATCTGCATCAGTTGATGATAGAACAGAAGAAGAAAGGGGACTTAAGGTATGTGATATTTACATCTCATTATAATAAAAGTAAACATTTTTGTCAAGAATTCAGTATAAGTTTTTTGTTAATTTATGTGTAGAGTGTATAGACTGGGGAGAAATGTAGACTGAATTACAGTAGAAACTTGGATGAGGTGTACGCTTATCAAATGGTAGTAAATGATTTCTCAACTATCTACTCCTTATTATTCAATACAGCATATTATTATGCAGTGATGAATACATCTTCATGTTAAACAATGAATTGGTTTAATCATCATTTTTAAAACAATTAGTTCCTTTTATAAACTTCGACAAAACAATAAGAAGACGTAAATTGTCTGAACCGTGTAATGTATTTGCGCAACACATTTCAAACTATCTGATCACACACGTACTTGTCATAGGTATTTATATAAAAACTCATGAAGATAAGGAGTGAGAAAATAAAAATAAAAAGGGGTCAGATAGGAAGGCTGACTTAAAGGCCGAATAACAATGAAAATCAATAGAGCGAAAAAATAATAGTACATCGAACTTGGTATTTCAATAGTTGAATTTACCAAGGAAGGTTTAATGTGACAACACAAATTGTTTATGAATCCATAAAGGTGGTTTCAGCTTCCTAATAGCTAAGGCTTCAACAAATTTCAGGATCCCTCTCCAACATGTTTTGTAAATAGGTGTAAAGGAAGTAGCCACATCAATCTTGTGACCTGTCTCAATGATATGTTTGGCGATCGAAGAACTTGGACGTCTGCTACCAACATTTATAGGTTCAGGTGATTTAATTTGCTTCTGAAGCCACTTTGGAATATGTTCCGAGGCCCTTACTTGCATGGATCTATTAGTCCTCCCTATGTATGTGTCACCACACGTACATTTGAATTGGTAGATACAACCACCTTTATGTATTCATAAACAATTTGTGTTGTCACATTAAACCTTCCTTGGTAAACTCAACTATTGAAAAACCAAGTTCGATGTACTATTATTTTTTCGCTCTATTGATTTTCATTGTTATTTGCCTTTAAGTCAGCCTTCCTATCTGACCCCTTTTTATTTTTTCTCACCCCTTATCTTCATGAGTTTTTATATAAATACCTATGACAAGTAGGTGTGTGATCAGATAGTTCGAAATGTGTTGCGCAAATACATTACACGGTTCAGACAATTTACGTCTTCTTAAACTTAATAGTCTGCATATGTAAGAGGATGGAAAAATGGTCAGCTTTGTTATAAAAGCGAGCCTTTATACTAAAATATCAATGAATATAACACTAGTGACAGTTAGAAATCAACTGAAAATTCACTGAGAACCTATTTACACTACTAGGATATTGGTTGATAAGATCATGTTCGGTGTACAGCTGTGCCTGACTTCCACAGTCTGTAAGTTTCAGGGGAAAATATATAAACAAACAGAAGGAATAGCAATAGGACTACCAATATCCCCTAATCACAGTAGGTATATGTATGGAAAGCTTAAGGTATGGTGTTAGTTGAAATATGTGGACAATTTGTTCACACATATAAACTCAGTAGTAAGCACGATCCAGTTCACTTAAGAAGAGGTAAAGAAAAAAATGAACAAGGAGAATTAACTATGTTGGATTGCAGAGTAAAACGAAGAACAGACGATGATTTAGTTAATATTGTCTACAAGAAATGGACACATTGTAAATCTACGAACCCACTCAGAGATGAGCTTTATTGGCTGGTTTAAGAATCCGATAGAAGGAATTAAGCAAAATAATCGAATCGATGAAATTCCATGAAATGATTGTGAGGTCAAGTACATACGTCAAACTAGTCAACGGATCGGGATGAATGAGGGTAGTGGGACATAGGAATTTAGCTAAATATAGAATGAAAGACTGGAATAAGATCAGTAAACTAGAAGAAGAATCGGCTATTGCAATGCATGCATTAACACACATAATCACACAATAGGATGGGTGGGATAAAACCATTGTTCAACATAATTATATTTTCAAGGAGGTTGTGGTGATTTATAAATATTTCAAGATGGTATTCATCGTAGGCTGACATTAGTTGGAGGAACGAAGGAAGCCTGAGAGCACTGGACAGCTGTTTCGTCCTAGTATGGGACTCCCCAGCAGTGCGCACCCAGGACCCCGCCAGGGATGGAACCCGAGACCTTCATTATCCGTGGCCAGCACGTTAGAATTGAGCCACTGGGTCGGCGGAATCCAATGGTCCATATTTCCAACTTCTGTTAGCTCACGAGTGGGTGCGCGCTGCTGAGGAGTCACATACTAGGACGAAACAGCTGTCCAGTGCTCCCAGGTTTCCTTTGTTCCTCCAACTGATGTCAGTCTACAATGAATAACAACTTGAAATAATTCCAATGAATTGGTTTCATCATCATTTTTGTATTGTTAATTTTGTGGAAACCCATAGAAAATGAGTAGTATATTACAGATTGATATTCACTTGGATATTGTTGTAGTTGCTGAATTCGGTTAAAGTTCTCGTAGTCCACTGTTTTGTCTACATTATTTTCAGTATTTTCTACAATAATTAATGATTACAATTGTTCAACAATAAATATTTTGTTTTGGTCTATAGCCCCTATATAATGACCAATTTGTTATTCCAAAATCACGATTTGATTCAGTATCGTTTTATCTTTCACCTATGGGTGCTGCATTCAATGATATCCCACTTGTCTATAATCAAGATTATTATAATACTTTGATCAAAGAAGGTGAGTAGTGTTTTGTTTTATAATTTCAATTTATACTGCCATCCACCTTTGGTTCATATGAATGATAATACTTGTATGATTATTTTTTCTGATGAATTGAATATGTAATCGTTTAGCCAACAAATTTCTAAGTCTCCTTTAAACTTGCTATCAGATGAATTTTCGTTCAATGATCATTTGGAATTGTCTAAGAGAATTGAAAGATGATCGGGATTTGTATGTGATTGAGGATAGTGAGATATCGAGTCCAACTACCACATTCACTACTTCATTGTTACTATATAGTGAGAATGTTAGAGGAATTTTTCGAGATATTAGTGTATTATCACTTCCTGATTTATCTTCTTAGCTACTATGGATTAGCATTCTAGAAAGCATGATGTTTCATTCCACAATCAAATAAAGTAAACGTCAGTAACAGATAGTACAGACTTTTATTTGTCAAAGTATTCCTGGCACACTGTCTGGCATCATTTGTGGCTACTGCTTATTTGTAAGAATTGTAGGCGATAAACATTATGAATCTTTCTCAAATTATCTTATCTGTTCATTTGCATAAATCCCTTATGAATAATATTTAACAAGGTGATTTCGTTTAGTTAGAAAACATTTATTAAAATTGCACAGTACGGGGGAGTATGCAGATGACTGACTGCCATTGGAGATCTGAGTCACATCGGTTAGCCTACCTACATTGTTGATGATAATGTGCTTGGTATGTGCAGTGTTTTCGAAGTACACCTTTCTTCCGACTTGTCATATCCCTGTTTTGTGCATTGAATATGAACCAGAATGAAATGTTCTACTTTCTTAGACATAATCATAGATAAGTAACACAACTAACTAATACAGACAACTGTAAGTAGACTTCTAGATGAGCACAGAAATGTGATTTATCATTCTGTGATCTATAAGGTGGTATCGTTAGTAGCGAATTAAGTTGGTACTTATCGAAGTAGTGGAATTATTCCACTCTTCCGTTAAAGATTGTAGACTCAAATTTGGATATTCTTTTGGGTTTTCATCAAGTAGGCATTTGCAAGCATTGTGACAGGAAAAATCCGGGGTTTGAGCTCGTTGTAGATCAAGCAACAATTGTGAAGAGATACTGACCTTTGAGTTTTGTGATTAACACAACTTAACATTTGCTACTTCAAACGTTCACATGGCAAAAGCGATTGAAGAGTAGGTATGTGGCATGTTTCACAGTAGATACTCATGCGGTATTTGGTCTCATCTTGGGATGTGGATATAGTGTAATTTTCAGTTATCAGCAAGCGTGGCTGTATCGTGAGTGCTTACTAGGTATTTTCCGCTTTATTTCTGTTTTAATCCAATTGCATGTAAAACATATGTGAATTGTCCATGATATTGTATTGTATCAGCATAGTTTCAGAGAATGGTCAAACTCTTGTAACTCTTAGTGAATTGTTGGACACCACGGGTGTGTATCAATGGTAGCACCGTTAGAGGAGGGTCAACTATGAATTGACTTAATCGATGGCTAACGAAATATCCATTTTCGAAAAACGTATATGAAAAGAGTTATGATGTCACACTTTCATGAAGTGTTTTACCGATTACCGACACATCAGTTCTATGTTATCATGCTGTTGATTTGAATATTTCGGCCCCTTTTCTATTAAACTACACTAATAAGATGAAATGACACCCTGAAATTATACTCGCGGTGATCATTTTAAACTGTGAATGATTATTTTTTTTTGTGTACCAAGGTGTCGACCATGCATTAGCACTACACGTTGCTCATCTGTTTATTCGTGATCCAATCAGTGTATTTTCTGAGAGTCTTAATCGTTCAGAAAAAGAAGAGACAGTGGAACACTTTGAGGTAAGTACTAAGTGTTTAATTATTATTGAGTAAATGTTTAATTGAGAAGACATCTCTTGTGTAATGAATGATTCCTCATTCTCATGATAGCTGTACAATACACTTTTAATTGGGAGAAAACTAATGTGCAGTTAGAGATTGAGTTTCAACATCTAGTCAATGGAATGATAGATTAGTAACTGGCTTGTATATGATTAGTGTTTTCGATAAATATGTTTCTCCAAGGTTGCAAGTACACCTTTGTTGATGATAATTGCATTGATTTAGTCATTTTTCATGTGATGAAAGCAGCAATGTGAAGGTATAAGTTTGTTAATGTCACTAAGTGTCATGCAATCAGATGTCGAGTATATTCGCTATACACACACACACACTCAGAAACACAAACACATGATCATTAGAGTCTACAGCTTAAACAAAAGAGTGACTTGCACTATGATGCACACCATTCCCCTTGGTTATTTTCATTGATGATTGGTATACTTGACTGAATCAGTTAGTAATGCTCTTCTAGTTTGGTGAGAAATAGTTCAGATATCTTTCAATTCATATGATAACAAACACCACCACGTGTGCACAGCTGATAGATCAGCCCTTTGTAGCCTAACTACTTTTGACCTAGTCATTAGTGTTATACTTTTGGATTCATGTGAATGAAATGATTTGTTTGATTGATTCCTGAAATGTGCAGTGAAGATCAGAGTTTGGAGGAGAGTGTAAATTCTGTAGGTCAGTTGATCACTGTGATGACAGATTTATAGATTCGACCAAAACGTTTATTTGCTGTTTTGCATGATACTGCTTAAGACTGTTTTGAGTTATACTTTTGAAGTTATTTTCAGTATCATATAGATTTGACGTTGTCAGTGTACTTTGTTTTCAGTTGAAAGAAACACTTGTGTATCTTCATGTGCTAGGTGAAGAACTAGAATGAATTAAATATGATGTAGGATTGTTAACTGAGAGAGATGAAGGAAGATTAGAAGGTGAAGATGAGAGAGGTGGATAGTGGTCTGGGGGAAGTTGAGCTATGACAGAGTTGTGAGGATGGTTGACATTTCCCGACTTCGCACATGGTGGATGGCTAGATCTTCATGAGGTACCTGAAAAAGAAGGGTCAGTGAGTGATCACAGGGCCTATGGGACACAAACTAGAGGTCGATCAGGTAAGGCCTTTTGGATACGACGACAATTGGCCTGTATTACGGGAAGTGTGGTCAGACATATGTCCTGTGGTTTTGGATCACCATTAACCACCGATGACTGATCTAAGCTATGATGATGCATCATTTTGTTGTTTAAGAACATGTTAAGGGTAAGAGTAACTGGATTTTGTCTAATCGCTATCCAATAGACGATTCTGGTATTGTAGAACGTCGAGGGAACAAGCGTTCCACTGGCATAACTCGTTAGGTCATTGTGGTATACAAGTGTGACCACCACATCAAGTAGCAGCTATCGGTCACGATGATGATGAAGTGTATGTCTCCAGTTTTGTGGTACATTTGGGGGAGGGGGGGGGGCGGTGCATGCATCATTGTATTTGCAGTTATAAGAGAGTTTAGTTCTTTTTCTTGTAGCATGTCATCTCCTGTGATTTGTATCCCTGTAACAACCATTGGAGGGGGTGGGTGGGGGTCAGTGGAGGAATGATGAGAATTCTTCCTCTTAAACCTGTTTGGTCACTCTACATGCCCCATACACCTGGAACTTTCAGCAAGTATGTAGGGATGCTGTAGTGCTAAATGTGTTGTTCGATTGATAAAGATAATCACTGTTACAGCTTACAAGGGGTTGAATATCAATTAACAAATATTAATTGAGTAGATTTCAATATTTGGATTAGTTTACAGATGTTAGGCTAAGCATCTAGTAGTATGCTGTTTCGTTCCACTTTGAATCGTTTATTATTGTAACTGGTTAATCCTAATCCATTAATAATGACTAGCTGTATGTAACGTATGTCATTTTCTTAGCAATCTACTGGTTGAGAATGCATATCGCTTATCTCTTTTTCAGTTGACTATTGTTGTGAACCATGGCAGAACGATGAATTGCTTATCGAAATGTCTAATATTAGACTAACAACTGTATGATTATGTAGTTCGATGGATAATGGATTATGCTTGAATTTCTGGTTGAGGTATTCTTTCATTTGTCATGGAACACCTGCTGTTGATTCACTCACTTTTACCATTTGCATATATGTAAAACTGTATTCTAAGTATTCTCTGTTTACTTTTATATCTTATCAGACTATTCAATCTACAAACTGGCAGTCGATGCGTTTTAAACCACCACCTTTGAATTCGTCAATTGGTTGGCGTGTTGAATTTCGACCAACAGAAATACAACTTACAGACTTTGAGAATGCTGCTTTTGTCACTTTCATTTTATTGTTATCTAGGACAATATTGAAGTATAACTTGAATTTGTTGATTCCACTTTCAAAAGTGGATGAGAACATTGTGACAGCATTGAAACGTGATGCTGTGCTAAATGGAAAATTCTACTTTAAACGCGGTCATTTAATAACCACAGGTATGAATAACTGAGGAAATTTATTTGGTAACTGATTATGACTTCATTGAAATAGTTTGTGATTCATGAGTTTCTGTGTGACGATTTTAACCCGTATAGGTTGATTACATTTAAGGCTGAAACGAAAGTCATTAGCCATGCACATATGTTGGTATGTAGGGGACTGATTGTGTTACGCTTAGCAACCCTATTTAACTCGATATACTCTAGTACCTGCTTAATCAGCACTTTACCTAACGTGTAAGTATTGATAAGGAGATACAAATAAAAAGGATTAGTATTCAGTGATATTTTCGAAGAGACAATATATGTATTTAGTTGGTATAAATATGGTAGTGATTATTAGGGGGAAAGTTCATCGAACTTATCTGGCTAATGTGGCTGAGCTAGGGACTGTGATGACGTACATGTTAACCAGCACAAATGGTGGGCAAAATGGCATCGAAGCCTGCTCAGGTGTGATGCTCGTTCAAACGAAAACATAAAACATCTTAAGTGTCCGGAGGCGAACTAGAAGCGTATTTAGTTAATTCAGTTTAATCTGTTTATTTTGGCCGTAGATGCATTTTGGTTCTGGTAAGATTGACTACAGGTTATTTTACTGCTAGAAGGTTGTTAAGATACTGGGAGCTTTTGATCCTAGAAGGCAACTGCGATGCGGACACGAAACGCTTTTCCACTATAGGTGGATTGTGCAACTAGCAACTAGAATAATGATATTACCTGGATACCCATGTCTTGGTAAGCATAACAGACCTCGAATCCATGACCTACCGATCGAAATTCGACTGCCTATATTAGTAGGTCATAGTCCCATCTCTATGAATTCAACGTTGAATTCTTTGCTTTGAAGTGCCAACTCAGTCAGCTTATCGCAGATTGATGAGTGCTGAGAGTTAATCAGTATTGAATTGGAGCTAAGCAAATGGCATTTGTCACATGCTGGCTGTTGTTTCCGATTAGAGCAGCTCATCAGTGAAGTGACAACTAATTCTCTATAGCTTAATATAAAAGTGGAAACCTTCATGTGCACTGTTACATAGACACGACTTTGAACTCTTCTTGACTTTTCTTAAACTGAGATCAGTTCTTGATGAAAATTATAGTCAAATCTACTCTCAACTCAATGTAAGATTTTGTTACACCAAAATCTCACGGCCCCCTCACTAAGATCACGCTTGGCAGATTCCTTCATACAGAGTTATCAATTAAACAAAAGTCCTGAAACTCAACTAGAATTGATAGTTTGGTGTTTTGAAGAGCTAAGTATGTGACGTCGAACCAGGAATATCTTTCAACATTAAATAAGTTGTTTGATCGATAACGATCTAATCAAGAGGTGATCTATATGGAAGCTATTAGATTGTCGACATATTTCACAGAGTTAATTGTAGTTATAGAAGACAAGTCATAAAGAAATGAAGACAAGGGAATGAGTGAGAACAATAGTAAATGTTTAAGTAGAGAGTTTTCCTCTGCATGCTATATATGCAATATAGTATTATAAACACAGTGAATGTCCACATCTAAATGGTATCACCTTTCAGACTTTTTCTGAGAATAAACGGCTAATTATGATCGGTCGGAATCTAACACCCTCCAGAGAACTATTTTAGTATGTTTCTGGGCAGTAGGTATAGAGCTATCTGATAAAAGTGTATGTTAGTGATTGGCATAATATATCGCCAGAGATTTTCCTGAGATAATTTTAGCTGGAAAGAAGTTAAAGGTGGCCAAACTAAAACATTTTCAATTACAATCGGCACAAATGAGGATATCAAAGCCAGGATCAGAAAGACAACAAAATAGGCCTTCATCAATCTCAAATAATCAGTGTGGAGATCTACTCCACCACACCACACCACACTACGCTGCACTGCACTCAGCATAAAGTGTAAACAAAATCCAGATTTCAAACACTGATTCAATCAAGTAAGTCAGTGCTTCCATGTGATGGTTGACAGACTTGGCGCATTACGAAAAGTATTTTCAACAAACTACAGACATACATCACATGAACAGCTACTGCCTACACTCACTGGATACTGACACTGAAGATCGATCAGATGGATGGCCAGAATAATAAAGATAAGCAACAAGGGAGTGTGGCTGTCAACGAAACAACCAACCAAGAACCTGTCGCCTAACAGATATGCAGAAGAAAGTGGAGATGGATTGGATTGGATTGCATATAGAGTGAGAAGACGGTTTGAGGACATCTGGAGTTAGGTCAGGCAAGGCTGTCGTGTGGAAGCCAAATCGGAAACGACGAGTTGGTTATCAGAGGGTGACATGGAGGAGATAGTGTGAGGAAGAAATGAAAGCTTGTGGTCAGTCGTGAAGTCAGGTTGAGAAGACTTCAGAGGCTAGAGTGCAATGGTGACGTGCTACTGAAGACCCATGTTCCACTAGGAACCCAAGGGACGAACAATAATAATAATAAACTAAAACATTCTATCAATCCGTGAAGTCTCCAACTGTTGTTATAAGCCTCATAGGAAAATACAAACTGGCTAACCGATGTCAGTGTAACAAGAGAAGTTGACTGTTGGGGGACTGTTGGCAATATGGAGCAGAATTCAGTTTACAGTGGTGAATATACACTCAGTCAAAATCTTCATGTTAATTATCATACCTAGCTTATGTTTGTTTTCCATTTCTTTCATTTTTTTCGTCTTCATATAGCTTTCTGCTACTTTGATTACAATTTCTCCTATTTGTAGAGTTGCAACTTCTACACATAGACTAAGTGACTGTTTGTTTGCTGATCTCAAATTTTCTCATTGATAACTAAAAAAATCTCCTTGTTGTTTTACACATTTTATATTACAGATGGAACTCCAGTTGATTTAGCTAAATCATGTTCCAGTTACCGACGTCGACGTACATATTCTACACGTTGTGATCCTTCAGATTTAAATTGTATATTATCAAATGATGCACATGATATAACCTCTTATGATACTATTGAGTGTAATCAGAAACTTCCATCATCTTGTGATTCACCGCCTACATTTTCTGATGTGGAACCAGAAGACTGTTATATGTTAATGTCGGTGAATGAAATTATCAATGGAAATGTAAGATGTTAGTATTGGTATTAATTTGTTTCCAGTTAATTAAACTCTATTGTAAAACATTGGAAACTTTACACCGTAGACTAATCATGTTGAATGCTGAGTGTCTTACTGTGATTCAATAGTATACATTTTGTAGGTTTCTATGGATGATAATCTAGGATAATATGATCAGTGTAACTTGAGGCTACCTGTAAACATTTGACATTAAAACAATACATCACGACTCTATACTCCCTGCTTATTGGTTTGATTCGTTACGAATTGCACATGAAGTGATGTGGTACGACACTGACTCTGTTTTCACATAAGTTACATTTTAGGAGATTATGCTCCACGCACAGACGCTCAATACTGAAGATTAGATGGAGGGAATGATAAGAATAAGCGTCTGAGAGTGACATGGTGGAGATGGTGTGAGGAAGAAATGAAAGCTTCTGGGCAGTCGTGAAGCCAGGTTCAGAAGACTGCAGAGAACAGAATGAAATGATGACGTGCTAGTGAAACCCTATGTTCCACTTGGAACCCTAGGGAGAAATAAATAAATAAATGATGATAGGCGCAATCTAGGGAAACTCCATTGGAAGCGACTAGTTGGACGTCCGAGGGTGACATGGGGGAGATCGTGCAAGGAGGAAATGAGAGCTTCTGGGCTGTCGGGAAACCCAGTGCATGCCCAATCCATCTCCTCTTCCTCCTGCACATGTGTTGCGTGATAGGTTTTTGGTTGGTTCGTTCCCAGAGCTCCTTGTTGCTTATTCTTTCTGGGCATCTGAAAGAATAAGCAACAAGGAGCTCTGGGAACGAACCAAGCAATAAGCTATCACGCAACAAATATGCAGGAGGAAGTGGAGATGGATTGGGCATGCACTGAAAAGGCCGACTGAGGACATCACGCGTCAGGCCAGTTGCTCGAGTGAAATCCCCATGGGAAGCGACGAGTTGGACGTCCAAGGGTGACATGGAGGAGATGGTGCGAGGAGGAAATGAGAGGTTGTGGGCTGTCGTGGGACCAGGTTCAAAAGATCCCAGAGAACAGAGGTCACTGGAGACGTGCTACTGAAGCCCTATGTTCCATTATGAACCCAAGGGACTAATAATAATACAATAATAATAATAGGGAAACTCCATTAAGCATACTGTCTGTGTGAATGTTTTGTGTATGATATTCTGGCGTGATCATATGAAGTCTTGGATGATGGACACTATTATGCTTGAGTTTTATTGGTATCTGATAGTTTTTGGTGGTGTGTACAGTAATATTGTTGCATGAGACCGTACGATTATTTTGAACAAGCTAATTGTTATCTCCCTCCTCATTATCAGCTCTGGTTCGTAGTGCAGATTATGCTTGAAAATCGGTCATTTGAACTGATTCATCATTCCAGGAACTTGAATCGTCCACACTGTAGATTTATGTTAGCTGTATGTGTAATACATTTGTCATTTTCACGTCTAATCAATCTGACTTTAGCTACAGTTGATTGACTTGAGGACTTGACTTTCGACTATTGGATGTTGGATTTCAATAGCGTTCCACCGACGTTGGTCTTGGAGACCGAATTGTATCATAATACTTCACAATAAGTGTATCCTATCGTCTAGCATATGAATATGATGCAGTATGTTATTAATCAGTTTTATGTTCTCATGAAGAATTTCGAGAGGGGGTTTACACTCTCCAAATTGTCATGGCAACCGGTAAACAGATTCGAGTACTCTTCGGCAAAATGAAATTACAATGTCATGTGTGTTTGTTTGTGATGAATTTTCTGAATAGATGTCATACCACCAGTGTATGATGATCATATGTGAATTCAGTTTGAAATATACCTACATATTAGTGGAAATACAAGTCAAAAATCATCAGGGAGAGCATCAGGGTGATAATATACCTGCATGACACTGTTGGCAATCGTATCTATTCGATCTGTTTTCAAATATGACCTTATGAATAAACGGTCAATTTCTTCTTCAGAGTTTCAATCCGTTCTGATTGAGTTCACTGTTAATGCAGACTGGGAAAATGACTGACTGATATGATATGAATGAATGTAAGGTGCTGATGTTTTAACCAAAGCTTGTCTATTATTGTCTTAAGTGTTTCCATGACTATTATTCATAATGGTTGCATAAAAGTCATAAAATGAACATGATTGAACTTGTAAATATTCTGAAAGATAGAAGTCATTTTGGGTTATCATGATATGTGAACCTTTTGATTGCAATGGATTGGCTCAGTAGAAACATGTTCGTGATGAGACATCAATGTCCTTCATTTGTTCCCTGACGAGGTCGTGGATACGTACAGGTGAGGACTCCTTATACTAGAACGAAATGGCTTTCCAGTACTACCAAGTGTTTAGTGTTGTCTAACTGATGTCAGTCTGTGATGAATATCACCCTGACATCAGGACATATTTTCAACCACTCTTCATTCATCACCATAGTAAGTAACCAAAGAGAGTCAGGTATGAAAAAGAATGTCTGTAGAAAACTCACATGACGGGAGTATGTTTCACTGTCTTATGAATTTGATACTCATGGGGTCAGTTATTCGCTATTACATAGTGGTGGAATCATAAAGCAAGTTGACTGTTACTCAAGTTAAATAATAATTTCCTTGAAAAAAGCGATTAGTGCGAAATACTGAATCTCCTACAACTACAATGTATCATAATCATATACAAGTTTTGGTGAGTTTCCCCCTGTCCCGTTGACGTTCATGTAGTCCATGAGTAGCAATGAGAGTGAGTGTAACCTGAATTATCTTAATTATTGCCAACTTCAACACAAAATACACAAACTATATAACTAAGCATCGACATCGAAAATACAAGGCATACATGATTTAAACTTTCACTAAAAGTTGTAAACAGGCCTTTTATGATAAGTATTTTCCAGTAACAATACAGATTAACAAGTTTGTCACTTTTTACTGTGCTGACATTCTCTGATTGCTTTCAACCCACTTGTTTGACTGAACTTGCTGGCTATGTATGATTCCTAAAGATAGGATCCAAAGTGCATAGCTTTTTAATATTGTCAGTCGACAGTGAATGCATCTACCAGTCCACCTGCTGTTGTGGAGCAAGGTACATCGGCCGTAGCCAGAGAATGCTTTCTACACGTATACGAGAACATGTTCCTGCTTGGTTTTATAAAGGTGAAAGAAAGTCTGTTCGAAGTTCGATTCTAGAACATTTGATTGACTTCCATCACACAACAAATTCTAGACGATGACTTTGAAATTATTTATCAAATTGGCCCAAACCTCCCACGTTCTCTTCGTTTTCAACTCCTTAAAACAGCGGAGGCTTTAGCTATTCATGAACTAAGACCTGATCTGTGTGTACAAAAGAAGTATGTGCAGTCACTGTCTTTATCATGGCCATAACATTTTCCCACCCCATTAGCTTCCCATCCCACTTTGTTAATTTAACCTTTGTATCCTTCCTTTATCACTATTATTATTATAATCCCCTTCACTTCAACTAGTTTCCGGTATTGTTTCACTTAATTGTCTTAATCCTTTTAGAAAACATTGACTTCATCTTGTCCAATTTGTCTAATACCATTACATAATACTTAACTGATTTACCATTTTCAACAATTTTTTCACCCCCTTCTGAGTTATATACTCTGTATGTACCATTCCATATATTACATAATCTATTTGTTATCATTCGCACTTCAATTGTTATTATAAACACAAATGCCTATGTCTTCACCCGTTGTATTATTACTGTCATCACCATATAGTGTTTAGTTTTCCTCACAGGATATAATTTTTTCCCAAATATCATATATATACTATTGTACAGCTTGTAAATAAATTCGTTGAAAACAGTCTCTTCGCAGATTATCTTGTTCTTGATAGTGAATGTGTCACGTCTCTTGCTGTTATGTTCTATCATCTTTTGGTTCTCTGTTCAATATCTCACCTATGTCATATGTAGCCGAGATCGCCAAATTGTACTCATCAAGTTCATGATGAATATTTGAAGTTCATTTGTACTTTGTGATTGATCAGATTATCTGATCATACAGGTACTTGTCATAGTTATTTATATAAAAACTCATGAAGATAAGGGGTGGGGAAATAATTCAGCCTTTCTACCTGACCTCCTTTCATTGATCAGATTATGAGTTGGGAAATTGGTCAAATGGTAACAAGTGGTTATTGGTAAGAATCTTTCAGTCACTGTAAACATGATTCTTTTGTTCTGTCCTACTTGTAACTTTATCGAGTTATTTGCCTATTTTGCAGTTTTCAAGGAAGTTTATATTGTGATTTGATTGTTTCCCTTTGCATTATAGAGTACTTTTCCAGGTCTTCTGCCATTAATCCGGCTGTATGTTAAAGAAACTGGTGGCCATTTAGAGACTATGGACCTTATCAATGGTTATATGGATTTAATACAGAAGAGAGCTTCAGGTTGGTTACTTTATTTGAATAATCGATAGAAGGTTATTGCCAATTTTTATCGAATTTTTGTCGAATTCACTTGTGATTTATCCTTGATTATCACGTTCTGATGAGTTTTCTATTGGTCTATAAACTGTAGGTATTGTGTGCACAAAGCTTCATGAGGCTTTACCAATACATCTGATAATGATCTCGAGAAATGTTATCGTTGTATGAGATTGTTTACTCTTTATGACACATGTCATTTGAGATATTCGAATTGTCGCCTGTCAGTATTTAGTTATTCGAGGTCACGGTGTTGAGCACGAAGTGATTGCTTTGTGCCTGTGTATCATGAATAGAATTTTGGAGTAATTCCACTAGCCTAATTGATGAGCAGTTAGTAATGATCATCACTACAGACGTTTGATTGAAGTACATGCATGAGCACCGGTAACTTTAAGTATCATGATGAGAGTGAAACAGTTTGGAGACCGATCTAACAGTTACCGAAATACCCTGTTAAAACTTTACTTGATTTATGTTTGATTATAATCCTATAAATGAGTGAACTGAGTATGCAGTTAAAGTAGTTACAAAAACGGTGACCATTATCTCAATTACTTCAGTTGTAACTCATTGTCCAGAAGAAATTATTCTGGTTAATTCAATAAAGTATGGGTTGTTTGAGATTACGCCTTCATTCAATATTTATGGTTGTTTAGTTTTTGAGAGGTGGAATCAGTCGACGGTGTTATGACATACATCGTTGAAGCACTGGCTTATTCTATAGTGAAGCATTCATACTGTTATTAACTACCTACTTCATTCATTCAATTATCAATCAGCTTACATTTTGCCACCCCCAGTTATCTTCAAATGTTGATGTGATGTGAGTTGGCGAAGAATTCACATTGTCAGAAGGTGGAAGATCACTGAATGTTCTGAAACAAGCAGTATTCAAAATCATTTTTCAATAATAATAAGAATTACGTTATGTTACACAATAACATTTAGTATAGTGATATTTCAACAGACTTACTTCTTGTACAACAAATTCAGATTAAAAGCGATGGCAATTTATTGTTATGTTTATTTATCCCTTGGTTTCCTAGTGGAACATGGGTCTTCAGTAGCACGTCACCATTGCACTCTAGTCTCTGAAGTCTTCTCAACCTGACTTCACGACTGACCACAAGCTTTCATTTCTTCCTCACACTATCTCCTCCATGTCACCCTCTGATAACCAACTCGTCGTTTCCGATTTGGCTTCCACACGACAGCCTTGCCTGACCTAACTCCAGATGTCCTCAAACCGTCTTCTCACTCTATATGCAATCCAATCCAATCCATCTCCACTTTCTTCTGCATATCTGTTAGGCGACAGGTTCTTGGTTGGTTGTTTCGTTGACAGCCACACTCCCTTGTTGCTTATCTTTATTATTCTGGCCATCCATCTGATCGATCTTCAGTGTCAGTATCCAGTGAGTGTAGGCAGTAGCTGTTCATGTGATGTATGTCTGTAGTTTGTTGAAAATACTTTTCGTAATGCGCCAAGTCTGTCAACCATCACATGGAAGCACTGACTTACTTGATTGAATCAGTGTTTGAAATCTGGATTTTGTTTACACTTTATGCTGAGTGCAGTGCAGCGTAGTGTGGTGTGGTGTGGTGGAGTAGATCTCCACACTGATTATTTGAGATTGATGAAGGCCTATTTTGTTGTCTTTCTGATGTTGGCTTTGATATCGTCATCTGTGTCCCCTTCTAGTTGAAACAGTGCTGCCTACGTCGGTGGAAGAGACTACTTCATTTAGGTTACTCCAGTTCTTCGTGGTTGGTACTTGTTGTTGTTGGTTGGGTATCTTCATCGTCTCTATCTTCTCTGCGTTCATCTTAATTCACTCCTTTTTTTCGCTGCCTCGCCTCTTCTGTCAACTTGTTAGTTTTCGTTTATAGATCTTCGAGTTTCTGTGACATTAGAGATAAATCATCGGCAAAATGCAAATCTTCCATCGTCTTTTTATTGGTCAAACAGCGTATGCTCATCTTTTCACTCCTCACTCCATTCCAGTCCACCACAGTGAGGATGATCATCGGTAATAGTAGTCAACCTTGTCTTACTCCTTCCTGTCTTCACTTCAAAGGCATCACTGAGCTTTCCATTGTGAATCACTTGAAGTGTAGCTTCGTCGTATAGCTGTTGAGTGAGGTTGACAGCGGTTTGTGGTAATTAAATAATATTAATAATAACAGTATGAGAGATAGTGATGCATAACAATCAGTACTAGACAACACTCCAGTTGGCAACATCAAAATCCATTCTAATGGCTGGGGTGACATGATTGCCAAACTGGGAGCGGACAACACAGGAAGAGAACCAATCATGGGTTGAGAAGCACTCGGTGAAATGAACGAGAATGGAGAACTGTTTGCAGACTTCTGTGCATTCAACGATTTGGTGATTGGAGGCAGTGTGTACAAACACAAAGATATTCACAAAGCGACATGGATTTCACCAAGCACCAGGACACACTAAAATCAGATCGACTTTATCCTAAAGTGAAGAAAGTGGAGACGGAGCCTACTGGACACAAGATGAGATGAAGAAGGGGAGTAGAATTAGGTGGTTCAGATCACACACTATCTAGTACAGAATAAGGAACCCTCTAGATCAAGTTGAAAGCCTTCATAGGAGCTGATGATAGACGACAGTTCAAGTTCAACGCCCATAACAGAAAGTGAAAGACGAAAGTACGAAACCACGTCAGCCATCAAGACAAAATGGGAGATATTGAGCAACATCCCTGAAAAAACCTCCATGGAAGAACGCTGGAACTCTGTGAAAGCTATGTGGAAGGAAACCTGCATAACCGTGTTAATAAGGAAGAAGAACCAGACAAGACATGGAATGGATCTCCACGGACACAGGAGATGATAGAGCAGGGAGAGGAAGATGGTGAAGCAGAAGATGAACCAGAGCACTGCAGTGATGAACAAGAAGAAGAGGAACTGAATACAACGTATAAAACACTACACTGGACAAAGAAGTGAAGAAGAGTGCGTGGAATGACAAAAGATACTTCTACGACACACATTGGAAAGTGGAGTAGAACAGGCTGCAGGTAGGAGAGACAGAGACCTGACAACACTATATCAAATAACCAGGTTACTATCTTGGAGGGAAGAAATCAACGCAGATGAAACCAATGAAAGATGATGAAGGCAAGATAATTGCGAAAGAAGAGAAACAAAGGAAACGATGGGCTGACCACATCAAAGAACTCTTGAATCGACCACCACCACCAACTACAACTCGTTCAGAAATACCACCAGTAGCCCAGCCACAGAATTGCCAGTGAACACAAGCACTCCGACAAAAGCCGAAGTCTTGGACGCCATAAACTTGCTGAATTCCGGAAAGCAGCAGGACCAGATGGCATTTCTCTACAAGCACTGAAAACAGATGCAGATGCAGAGACAACAGCGGACACGTTCACACCACTACTGATGAAGGTTTGCAATGAAGGAAGGAAGGAAAGGTACCTGGTGGTTGATTGGAAGAAGGACCACCTTGTCAAACTTCTAAAGAAGGGAGACGTAAGTCTTTGCAAGAACTGGTACGAAATCATGATCCTGTCCCTGTCCACTCGAAGCAAAATATTAGGCCGCATCATCCTGGAGAGAGTAAAAACCGCGTTGGATTCAAAATTACGACCGGAACAGGCTGGCTGGCTGGCTGGCTGGCTGGCTGGCTGGCTGGCCGGCTTCAGGAAAAACAAATCATGTGTGCATCGAATTGCAACACAACGCCACGCTACGCATGATTATAGAACAGAGCAGAGGATGCCAGTCAACAGGATCTCCACCTCAACTTTATCGATTTTGAATAGGTCTTCGACAGAGTCCGACCTACAAGTAATTTGGCAGGCAGCTGCTTCAACACTATCTTTTTACTGCCACAAACCTTCATCAACCTAATTCAACAGCTATATGAAGACGCCACATACCGAGTGATTCACAATGGAGGGCTCAGTGGTGCCTTTGCAGTGAAGGCAGGAAGGAGCAAGACAAGGATGGCCACTATCACTGATGATCTTCTTGATTGTGGTCAACTGGATCATGCAGCAAACTGTGAGGAGCGAGAAGAGAGGCTTACTCTGACTGGACCGATGAAAAGACCCCAGAAGAATATTTGCATTTTACTGATGATGACTTATTGTCTGTCTTACAAACTCGAAGATTTGCAGGAGAAAACTAACAAGTTGGATGAAGAGCGAGGGCACTCACTGGGAAGCAGGTACATCCAGCTGATGAGTCCTAAATAGGACGAAATGCGCACCCTGGATTCCACTGCTAGTCACTATCCATCGTCAACATTATGAATTAGCTTAAGGATTTTTATTTTGTATTGGACTTTAGTGATATGAAGACTATTTTTTAAAGCAGTCTTACATTGAAGTATTTTGTTTACTAATCGATAGGTATTGTCTAATTTTCTTGTGACCTTGAACTGTTTACAGGTTAAGTAATAATAACAGTGATGAAGATGATGATGATAATAATAATAATAATAACTTTTCAGAAGTTTATTTCAGAGTTATGCTTCATTCTTCCCTCTTTTTGAGACGTACTGACATTTGTTCCTACTTTCATCCCCTTAAGTTAGTATTATTTCAAGTTTTATTTGATGAGAGAGAGAGAGTGAGATGATTAGAGATAAGCGAGATATGTTTATTTGCGTAGGAAAATGTTTGTTTAACTACTGACCGATATGGACCCTATTGTTTTTGTTATTATGATAGTGTGAAGTTTACAGAAGAATAATGTATAGACTAATTGTCTTAGTACTGTCGTACACTGTTTCCCTTTCCAGACATGGTGTTAGACAATAGGAGTGGTGGGGGGAAATGTATCTTAACATTTATTTGCAAGATATTTCTGTTTACTAGTTAGTGAATGATTAAGATAAAGTCGTCTCTCGTGGGGAGTGTGTTTGTCGGTGCATTCATTTCAAAGATCAAAAGAGA